AGTCCGGGCCCAGGGAGCTGCAGAGGTAGGGTGGGGTCGGAGTTCGGGATGGGACGCTGAGTCTGCTTGGGTGGGCCGGGTCCCCGCCGCGCGGCAGCCTCGTGTCTGGCCGCTGCGACGGGAAGGACTTTTTATTTTATTCATTATTTTCTCTGTTTTTGAACAGAGTACTCCTCTGTTTGTTCCTGCTGTGGGTGGAGTGCCGGTGGCGTGAGCCTCCGCTCGCACGCGCACCCGTCCGAGTCCTGGCTCAAGCGATCCTCCTGCCTCAGCCTCCCGAGTAGCTGGGACTACAGGCATGCGCCACCACGCCCGGTTAAGTTTTTTCCATATATTTGATTAATTTTCTCTATATATATTTAGGTGGCCAATTAATTTCTTCCTATTTATAGTAGAGACGGGGTCTCGCTCGTGCTCAGGCTGGTCTCAAACTCCTGAGCTTGAGCGATCCGCCCGCCTCGGCCAACCACCGAAGACATTTTTAAGGAACCATTCCACACTACACCCTGGCACTGCACACAGATCCGGTCCCCGCATTGGTGAAGCGGCACCTGTCCTCTCCGCACCACCCGAAACAAAGCAGGTGCTCCCCTTGGAGGGAGCTCGGCCTACACTCTGAATTCGAGGACTGTGCAGCTGCACTTTCCAGTAGCTTCCATCCTGGAGTGAGAGCCACCGAGCGGTGTGCTCAGCCAGTGGCTGCCAGGGTCTCCTTCACGGTAAATAGCGACAGAAATTACTTCGCAGACGTAAAGCCGTCGCCGGTCCCGGGGTGTCGAGAGAGGTACTCGCTGAGCGCCCAGGTGCCTGGATGCGAAAGAGACCGCCGGGTCCTCGGGGTCGGGGTCCTGGGGCTGGCACTGGGCAACAGTCTGACAGCACTGATGTCCGTCGGGGTTGGGTGGGTGAAACACCCAGTGAATCCCACGGGCTGACGATCAAAGGAAAGAGGCTTGGAAAGGTGTGCAGGGCCTGGTTTCTGTTGTTTTGTGTGTGTGTGGTTTTTTTTGTTTTGTTTTTTGTGGGACAGAGTCTTGCTTTGTTGCCCAGGCTAGAGTGAGTGTCGTGGCGTCAGCCTCGCTCACAGCAACCTCAGACTCCTGGGCTCAAGCAATCCTCCTGCCTCAGCCTCCCAAGTAGCTGGGACTACAGGCATGCGCCTCCATGCCGGGATAATTTTTTTTCTCTATATATTAGTTGGCCAATTAATTTCTATTTTTTAGTAGAGACGGAGTCTCGCTCTTGCTCAGGCTGGTCTCGAACTCCTGACCTCGAGCGATCCTCCCGCCTCGGCCTCCCAGAGGGCTGGGATACAGGCGTGAGCCACCGCGCGCCCAGCCTACGTCTTCCTCGGTCTGATCGTAGCGACGGGCGAGAACTGGATCTGGGGAAGGAGGACCGCAGGCCTCTGTCCACGTGACTTCTCACCGCTCATACTGACCTGGATCCCCCTGAGCCAGGTGGTGTCTGTCAGGCCCCGCCACTGTGGAGTCACTCTCACAACGTCCCCTGCCCATGGCGTACCCTTTGGGAGGAAGTCACCATACGCAGCCCGGGCCTAAGGGGCGGGCCGTCCCGCCCGCCTCCCGCCCGGCTGAGTAGCCGAGTGAATTACGATTCCTCTGTGTGCGGGAGACCCGCCTCTTCTCCCCCGATTACCCACTTCCTCAGCCGTTCATCTGCATCAGCGTGGACTCCTGGGTGTTTATCTCGTACTCAGGGTCACAAGCGCAGCTGCTTTGTTGTCTTGTTGCTCAGACCGTCCCGGCTGTGGCCGTGGGAGCTCTTGCCGTCGGCTCCTGTGGCCCTCGCCACGCCCCCTCGGTTTTGGTTTCTATTTGCGAGCGCGTCCTAACTGCCTAACCGCCCGCCACCTGCAGGGGCCCTCCGTCCGTCCTTTCCGGCCCCATGTGGCAGGAGTGGCTGCCGCTCCCAGTGCCTGGGCCCGGCCGGCTCCAGCAGGAAAGAGGCTCACAGTCTCAGATTCCCTGAGGCGCGTCCCGGGGGGGCCTCTATGTCGCTCACCTTGTTTTGCAGTGACACGTTAATTTATCGGGTAATCTTATTTTATTATTTTATTTACTTGAGTTTTTTCTCTTTTATTTCCGTGCTAGTGACGTTGAATTATCGGGTAATCTTAAAGCGTGAGAACCGGGGCCTCGCAGAACACCCAGCGCACAACACTGGCGTCTCGGTGGAGCTAGGCCCTTCCTCCTCTCTTCCTTCTGGGCCCCTCTGGCCTGGACTGTGGGCCCGCCCCGCAGCTCACCGAGTTCGGGGTGTGCCTCTGCAGGGAGGTTCCACGCAGTTTTCCGGGGAGGACTCTCACTGGGGCCCCTGACTGTGAGCTTTCCTGCAAAGAGCAGGCAGCTGCACGTGCTGTAGGAAGATTAAATTCTCTGAGAGTCTTTCAGTGGACAGAGACTCCCAGGTCCAAGGTGACACAGGCCCACTGCCAGTCTGGCCTCCGCACCCTGGCCCTGCCCCACATCTCCACCTCCTGCTGTGTGGCCTTGGCCGCCTGCTTAACCTCTCTGAACCCATCTATCTGCTCTGCTGGTACCAGATTTAAAAAAACAAAAACAAAAAACAGACTGTTTTTGATGAGCTGACAAGAAAGCCTCTTGCAAATGATTAAGCAATCCACAGGGGACGGTGGCCTGGGATGGCAGCTTGGGGCATCCTTCCCCCTGCAGGAAGGGGACGAGAGAAGGCCGCTGCCCCGGCCTCGGGCATTCCGATCCCGGTTTGAGGGACCCGTGGAGGAGTCACGGCCAGAGCCTGCCCTTGGGAGGGGAGGGGGCGGCCGCCGTCTGCGGGGCTCTTGCAGCATCTCACGGCCCCTCCCCCCTCCCCAGGACCCAGCCCCCGAGGACCCGCAGGCCTGGTATGGGTAATGGTGTGAAGGAAGGCTCGGTGGGTTTGCGTGAGGATGCCAAGGCCGTGCTGTCCACGCCCGTCTCGTCAAAGGCAAGTACCTCGCCCCCCCCCGCCCCCGGGAGTGGGTGTCCGCCCAGGGTCCCCGCTTTCCCCCAGCCCCGGGCTCCAGGCCCCATCGCTCCCTCCCCTGTGCTCCCTGGCCGGGCGACACGCCCGCCTCCATCTCTGCACACCCGGCCAGGAGCCTCCGTCCACCCCGCAAGGTTGTGGGGTAGGAGACGCCACCACCACGTCTCTCCCCTGAGGGCGCCGTTCACAACAGGGACCCAGCCAGCCAGCCACCTGGTAAGAGGCCAGAACTGCACCTGCCATGGCTCGGAGCCAGGACATCAGAAAGCGTCCTGGATCCCCTTTCCTCCTCAGATCGTCAAACACTAAAGAAAGAGCCGGCCGGGCACTGTGGCTCACGCCTGTCATCCTGGCACTCTGGGATTGCTCGAGCTCAGGAGTTCGAAACCAGCCTGAGCAAGAGTGAGACCCCCGTCTCTACTAAAAATAGGAAGAAATTAATTGGTCGACTAAAAAAATTAGCCAGCCATGGTGGCGCATGCCTGTACTCCCAGCTACTCGGGAGGCTGAGGCAGGAGGATCGCTTGAGCCCAGGAGTTTGACGTTGCCGTGAGCTAGGCTGGGTGACAGAGTGAGACTCGTCTCAAAAAAAAAAAAAAAAAAGAGCCAATCCCAGGGAGGATCTGGAGGGTGGGCGCACTCAGGGTTTGCTCTGTGTTCCAAAGTCCATCTCTGATGTCCGCGTTCCGTGGAAGAAAAGATATTCCCTCTTAAATCAGGTCAGCCCTGTCACTGTTCACTGCAGAAGCCAGAGCCTCCGCCGCCCCCTAAGTCCTCCCTGCTGAGCCTGAAACGCCCAGCCCAGCCCAGCGTAGGAACCTAACCTCATTCCTGGCGCCCAGCTCAGGTGCCAGCAACAAGCCGCTCTCAAAGTCCACTGGGTCAAAGGCTGAGGTGCCGTCATCTTCCAGGCCTCCTGACCTTTCCCCAAATTACAGATGAGCAGCAAGGAGCACCAGGAGGCTGGGAGGACCCTCTGCCAGGGTCACCATCAGGTGGCTGAGGCAGAGGACAGGCACGAAGTTCAGTGAACTTCCCAACACAGCAGGGGAGAACGCCTGGGCCGGCGTGGTGGCTCACACCTCTAATCCCAGCCTGGGAGGCTGAGGCAGGAGGATGGCTTGAGGTCGGGAGTTCAGGGCTGCAGTGAGCTGTGATGATGATCGGCGGGACCACCGCACTCCAGCCTGGGCGACAGAGCCAGATGCTGTCTCTGGGGGTGGGAAAAAAAGAACACCAGGACACGGCTGTCGCTGGGCACACCCGTGAGAGGGGTGTGCGGCGTGGGTCCCACCAGTGGAAGCCCAAGGCTGTGGTCACTGGGGAACCACCCTGGCAGTGCCCTGGTGCCAGTCACCACACACGTGTGCCCGCCACCTCTGTGCCGACCAGCCCCGAGGACGTCGATCTCCGTCCGCTTGGCCAGCCCCACGGGGGACGGTCACACTCCGCAAAGTCACGTCTTTGGCTGAGAGCGGAGCGTCTCCGTGGTGTTCACAGCCATCGTGGACCCCGCCTGTGGGATCCCACCTTCCACGTGCGGGACGTCTCCAGTGAAATGACACTTTGAAACGGGACCCTCCGGTGGTGCCTGTGCTGGCTCTTTGGACAGCACACTCGGTGTTCATTACGAGGAGCCGGAAGTGGGGGGCAAAGGCGGCGGCCTCTGCTGGGCCGGTCGTCCCGAGGAGGCCGGCAGCTTCCTCCCGGGCTGCGGTCTGTGCACGGGTGTTCCTGATAGGAAGAGTTGGTGTCATTTTGAGAACCATAAACTTTTTTTTTTGAGACAGAGTCTCACTCTGTTGCCTGGGCTGGAGTGCCGTGGTGTCATGACAGCTCACTGCAGCCTCAAACTCCTGGGCTCAAGCATCCTCCTGCCTCAGCCTCCCGAGTAGCTGGGACTACAGGCATGCGCCACCATGCCTGGCTCATTTTTTCGATATATATTTTTAGTTGGACAATTAATTTTTCCTTTTTCTTTTTTTCTTACCTATCAAGCTAGGATAATTTTTCTATTTATAGTAGAGATGGGGTCTCGCTGTTGCTGAGGCGTGAGCCACCGTGCCTGGCAGAGAACCACAAACTTTTGAGGCTGGGCACGATGGTTCACGCCTGTAATCCTAGCACTCTGGGAGGCTGAGGTGGGCGGATCATTTGAGTTCAGGAGTTCGAGACCAGCCTGAGGGTGAGGGAGACTGGGTCTCTACTAAAAGATAGAAAAAAGTAGCTGGGCGTGGTGGCGCATGCCTGTAGTCCCAGCTACTCAGGAGGCTGAGGCAGGAGGATCGCTTGAGCCCAGGAGATTGAGGTTGCTGTGAGCTAGGCTGACGCCACAACGCTCACTCTGGCCTGGGCAACAGAGTGAGACTCTGTCTCAAAAAAAAAAAAAAAAGCAGTGGCTGTGCCTCAGAAACACAAACCTCGAACCTCTCACCCTGTGGGATGCGCCGGGGTCAGGCCTCAGGGCAATCCAGCCTCTGCCCTCTCCGTCCTGGGCTTCTGCAGGGGCTGCCTCTGCTCTGGTCACAGCCAAAGTTGCCCCGTCCACGCTTTATGCTGCTCCGTGCCAGGCTCCATGGGGTCCGGCCCTGCCCGCCTCTCCCCTCCCCCCCTTCTCTGGGCTCCCTCCATCTCCCTGTGCCCGACAGCCTGCCTGCCTTGGGGTCCCCCAGGACCCCCTGTGCCTTCTCACCCTGGGCCTCTGAGTGTTTGTTCCTCTCCCTCTAATCTTGTGGCACTGCCCCCCCAAGTTTCCTGTGCCTCATCCTTCATCCTCAGCCCCTCAACCCCAACCCCGGCTCCTCCCAGAGCCCTGAGTGCTGCCTCAAGGCACCGTCCGGACCTCAGGTCAGTGGCTGTGAGCCTGTGCCTGGGGCTCAGCTCACGTCTGGCTCTCCCTGGACCGACAGCACCAGGGAGGTGGGAGGGGGCCCCGGACACCCCACCAGCCTGCACTGTGGGTCTCCAGGCCCCTCAGGGTGCTCGGGCCAAGGGGGACCCCACCGAGTCCTACGGATTGCTGCACAGACCACAGAGCGCCGTAAGGCGAGGAGAGACCGGGGCGCCCCCAGTGCAGAATCCCCAGACCACTCCCCACCGCGTCCCAGCGACAGTCTGCGGCTGAGTGCGCCGGGCAGGGGGAGGCTCCGGCCTGCTGAGCATGTAGCTGCCCCTGTCCTGACCTCAGAGTGGCGGGGCAGGGACCTTGGGGAGCCCCAGAAGATTCAGGAAAGCGCCGGTCACAGGAGCACTCGGTGCCACCATCACTGGTGTCACCGTCACCCCTTGCCTCAAATGGATGGGAGTTGCAGGTGTCGACCCCTGGAGTCCTGGTCCGAAGCTGCAGGAAGGGGGACACTACGCCGGCCGGCACAGAGTCGGGGTCTGCTTGCCCGACACCCCCCGCCTGACCCCCAGACCCCGAGGGGCCCGCGGGACGGTTTTCGTCCCCGGGTGGCTGAGACGCCACAGTGCATCACTCGGGTGCTCACGGGGTCAGTCGGGGGCGGCTCTTCTGTCTGGGGCCCGTCCCAGGGCCGGCCCATCTCTGAGAACACAGAACCTCATGGGGCAGCCCAGGCAGCACCGCAGCTTCAACGAGGACGGCCCCGGCACCTGGGGAGGTTGTCGCTTTGTTCTCGGCAGGCTGTGTGGCCGCTGAACCCTCAGCGGCTCACCCAGGACCAGGCGGAGCGGGCACACGCGGGCCACTGCGCACGTCCCGGCCCTGGCACGGAGGGTGCGAGGAGGGCTCTTGTCTGGGGCACAGACCCCTGCGGAGCGGACCCCCCCCTGCCCCTGACGCCCCCCTCCCGTGTGTTCTGTTGCAGGCTGACCACAGGCAAGTGCTCAGCTCCCTCCTGTCCGGGGCCCTGGCAGGCGCTCTTGCCAAGACAGCGGTAGCGCCCCTGGACCGAACCAAAATCATCTTCCAAGGTAAATGCTGTCTGTCTGTCTGTCTGTGTCCATGTGAGAGGAATGCAAGGTGGTACGCCTCCTCTCTGGCCTCCAAGCTGTGCTTCACATTGATTTTCAAAATGCTTCTGTAGGCCCGGGACGCGGTGGGCTCACGCATGGTCCCAGCACTCTGGAGGGAGGCAGGGAGGCGTCGTTTGAGCTCGGGAGTTGGAGACCAGCCTGAGCAAGAGCGAGACCCCGTCTCGACCAAAAACAGAAAAAATGAGCCGGGCAGGGTGGTGCATGCCTGTAGTCCCAGCTACTCGGGAGGCTGAGGCCGGAGGATCGCTTGAGCCCAGGAGTTTTGGAGGTTGTGTGAGCGAGGCTGACGCACGGCAACTCTAGCGGGCAACAGGAGTGAGACTCTGTCAAGAAAGACTGGAAAGGAAAAGGGAAGGGAAGGGGAAGGAAAGGAAGAAAGTGGGGGCATTGATAGCCCTCCCTGCGCTGAGTGGGGGTGCGGGAGCTGACAGGGCGACAGGAGCAGTGTGTGGGCTGGATGAGGAGGCCACCAGGGTCAACCTAGGACAGCAGGCGCCACGTCTTATAGACTGGGGAGGCCACCAGCCCACACGGGAGGCTTCCCCTGCCTGTTCCCGAATCCCACCGCGGCTCAGATCCAGGGGACACAGAGCGCGGGAGCCAGCCAGGCACCACAGGGTGGGAGAGGGGTAGGGGCTGTGCCTTGGGGGGCTATTCTCACTCCCAGTTTCCAGACCAGACCCTGGTGGGGTGTCACACTGACTGGGGGTCCCATCCTTTGCATCTCACCGTCTCTCTCGTGCTTTTGTTTTTTTCCAGTGTCTTCAAAAAGATTTTCTGCCAAGGTGAGCTACTAGGTCATTGTCCCCCTGGCTTGGGAGCAGTCCCCCCCACCATGCTCATGAGGCTGGTGGGTCCCCAGGAGACTCGGGGTTGGGGACAGGACTGCCCCTCCT